AATGCATGATGGACTATGTTGTGACTCAAGTTGGATGAGCAAAGCGTCTTCAGTTTCACGTGGAAGACTTAGATCCATAGCATGATTCTGGACTCTATACGCCATTTGGTGGTGCAGGGTTGCTGCATACGTGTTTCCGATTTGTGGAGCGCCAGTAATTTGTAGCTGGATCTGCATGTTCTGACAGATTTGTGGGTCTTCTAGAGCCACGTTAAAGTTTGGGAAAAGAGTCACGAACACAGTGCCAGCATTTAGCGTCGTCTGGATAGTTGCTATGCATGCATGTTGGTACTCTCTGTATCTGGTGTCGAGGAGAGCGACTCTTGCTACAACCGGTAAGCCTTTTCTACCATGAAGGGTTAAGGCTAGGCGGATGGCTCCATAGTGGAGGTGTGTATAGCCAAGACTTCGCCAATGGTGTATCATTCCTTCATTAAGGCAAAGAGGAACCATTTGCTCCGCTTCCGTTGCAGGGACTAAAAACTGTTCTAGAGGAGATGCTAGAACGAGTTCTTTAGCAGTATGTTTGTTAGGTACAAACACTTGTCTAATGGCTTTAGGAAAAGTGGAACTTGGCTTAGAGAAGGCTTTATAAGGATTTAGCAAAGGAAGCTGGGTAATAGGAACTTTACTCTCATCACTCATATACTCTATTTCATATAAATAATCTACTTTTTTAGAGGTGGATTTGCGGAAAGAAGGTGTTTTGGACAAAGTTGACATATTTTCCATAATAGATAAAAAGTCCAGAAACCAAGACAGAAAGCTAATAACTTCTTCTCAATCTTCAAAGTAGTAACAATCCATAAGTTGTTTTCATGGGACTATTAAGTGCTAAGAACGTAAAGAAATGATCATGAGGTATTAGCTATGCAAACCGAGGCAAACAACTTTCATCATCAATAAAGCCTCAAGGTACTTCGAGCATTACAACCTCACTGACCCTTTCTTTAGATCTTTTATTCAAACTTAGCAAGATTTCTGATGTGGAGGATCCATTAAAAATGGCAACCACAGAGCATACTTTCCATGCAAAGCATATAATAGAAAACAACGCTATGGCGTACTACCTCTTAGATATCGAAGAGTCAAAGCTTAGACTGCCATGGCTCTGATACCAAATTTACAGACACATAGTGGGTACAACCACGTAGGAGGTATTATAGGATCGAGATATATGAATCAAATATATAAGTGTTTATGGAAGAGAGTATATATATATATATATAAGAGAAATCTTTATTATAAGAACACACTCAAGAGAAAATTTACAGACACATAGTGGGTACAACCACGTAGGAGGTATTATAGGATCGAGATATATGAATCAAATATATAAGTGTTTATGGAAGAGAGTATATATATATATAAGAGAAATCTTTATTATAAGAACACACTCAAGAGAATACAAAGGACTCTTAGGACTTAGGATTTTAGATACTTCAGCTTATGGTGAACAAGCCTCACCAAGCTCCTTATTTATAGTGCATAACCTAAGGAATATTACATGGCATATTCCTTTCTTCACACTTATTATACATGCTTTTTGCTTCTCTAATAAGTTCTACTAACTTAGTTTATTTATGGCAGAAATATTACTTATTTTACTGTATTATCATAAATTTAAGGGTAACACAAGTTTCATTCATGGATTTATGTTGGCATTTATATATAAGCTTGTGGTTTCTTGAAAATATCAAGCATGTGGTTGGATGACAATGGACAAAAACACGACGTATAACAAACTCTGTTTCTTACTTTCTTGTCCAAAAGCATATGACCAATCCAAGAAACGTACCAGGCTAGTTCACTCTCCCACCTTATCAATAATTACTGATGCGAAATTAGCAAGACAAGTATTTCACATTTTTCAAAAAATTTCACCTAAATTATCTCTTAAAAATTCCATTTCGGTCCGTTAAAAATGAGAGTTATAATTTAGGATTATTTGGATATTTAGTACGTTTCTGAAATATATTATGCAAAATGATACGTTTACTATTCAATATTAGGGAACTAGTACATTTATACTGTACACCATTTTTTGTATGTCAATTATACCATTACAAATCATGAGTATTTACGATTCCATGCCATTTTGAACAGTTAGGACTATACATCTTCTTCGTTTTTGGCCCTCTTTGTACGACTAACTGCCATTTCTGATTCCAATTCCTTTTCTTCTTCTCTCACACTTCTTACCATTACCCCCATTTTCGTTATCGGAACGAGAATGTCTAAAAGGTTAAAGAAAAAGGATTCCAGCGGTGAATCTAGTCGGAAGAGCCCCCGATTTGTCCCAGGGATTAGGGATTCCAAAACCACTAATCGGAATCCCCGCGCGAAGAAGTATCACCGGACGAACCCCTCCGAGAACCTAGTCGTCTAAGTCCCCGTCTGGACAATAAGGGACTTGGAGTTTCCCGAATCATGTAAAACGCTTTAATCTCGATTTCCTAGTACAATTTTATTTTTGAGTTTTTTTTTTATTTTCACAATATCGATTTTTTTTTGAAGTGGATTTTAGGGGTTTGTATTGATTTTGATTATCGAGTTTCTGTGTTTGTCGGAGTTTGTGTGTTGTCTTCGTAATATGCTGTAGTATCAACAATTGTAGTTATCGTGTATTGGGGGTTTTTTGTTGATTTTAAACAAAGTATCGTTTTTTGTTTTTCTGTTCTATCAACATTACTATGTCTCGGTTTTTGCGGATTTTTGTTCATTTTGATTAACCGACCCGTGTTTGGTATATGGATCGCAGCCGGTGCATCTGAGGCAATGGACAAAGAGCGGTTCCCTGACCTTCCTCCGCGACTCTTCTCGGCGAGCAAGCTTCCCGACGGTGCTCGGCTCAACATCCACTCCAAACCTGAATATTTGGGGGTGTTAGTAGAAGTGCTAGACGGCACCGAGGCATGGACCAAGATTAGGCAGTCGCAGTTTGGGAATCTATTCGACCTTCCTGTTGCTAGGTGCTCTAACTCTGCCAAGCTTATCCATGGCATGCTGGCCCGACAGCTTGTGACCAAGAAAAAACACGAGCTGTGGTTTGTGTATGGCGGATTCCCTCTTTGTTTTTCACTGCGTGAGTTCCAAATCATTACTGGGTTGCGTTGTGCTCCTCTGCCTTCAGATGCAGAAGTGTCAAATCACCAAGATCCAACGTACTTATCAGTTTGGAATCGTCTTTTTGGTTACAAAAAGTTAATCAATGTGTCAGAAGTGCTAGACATGCTCAGAGAGGATGCCCTGGCTCAACCCGAGGACCGCCTTTGTGACTGGAAAAGGATAAGCCTTGCCTTGATTGTAATTGTTGAGGGTGTTATTGTGTGTAGCAACTCAAGGCCTGGGAGGGTATCTGGCGACATAGTTGAAATGTTGCACGACACTGCTTTCTTCCTTGAATACCCATGGGGCCGGCGGTCATTCAACGAAACTCTCTCTCGGTTTGGACCTGTTTTTGGCAAAGACGACCCCTTCGAAGAACTCAAGAGGCGGTTGTCTCAGCAAACGTCTTGTTGCTATGGGTTCCCACTTGCTCTCCAATTGCAAGTGCTAAGATGCATCCCTGCTCTATGTAGCAAGCTCAAAGATTCATCGAATTATAGGAATTTCATGGAAAGGTCATCTGAGTCCCTTTCCAGCACAGTTATTCTTCGAGAGTCTGATGTTAACGATGTCGAAAAACAACCATATGTAAGTCTGTTGTCCATATTCTTGTTTATGATTAATCTTACATTTTCAATCTAGTTTTAGTTTTTTTGTCTTTGCAGTTGACTGTAAAACACACATTGTTACATTCGGCCGATATCAACGAATCAGAATTGCGTTGGGATGACGAGGAGAGTGATCCACGTGTTGATACCATTCTGCGGCTGATATCAGAGAACCACAAATTTACCCCCTCTCAATGGCCTTATGGCGAAAGACGCACAATGGAGCGCCCCCGAGACCAAGGCAACGAGATTCCCACCAGTGCAAATGATATCCTCTCAGATGTAGAGGATATAACACCGGGGAACCCTCCTACCAAAAAGGTAAAGGTCGAAAAGAATGCATTTGTGCGTAGACCTTTCACCCGGTCTGCTGGAAGAGTAAATGTTGCTGAAAACTCTGGTAAGAGGAGAAGCAAGATATCAGCAAAGAGATTACTGCTATTGCGAGGGGTGTTATATTTACACTTGTGCGTTACAAGTGTCTGAGCTACTATAGGTGGTGTAATGATCGCAGCGTTTAGAGTTATTGTATGTGTTAAATAGTTTTTCTTTGTTTTTCTAGTTTTTGTAGTTTTGCATGTGTAATAAGTTGTAACAATGTATGTGGTATTGTATACTTATTTCGTTTTTGTTTATGTTTTAAGCTGTACCAATGTAAGAGTTATTTTAAGTTTATTTTGATTTTGGATATGTAATAATTTGTATCAATCTATAAGTTATTTTTATGTTTAATTAGTTGTTGCATGTTTAATTAGTTCTTGGTGGATCTTCCTAGTTTTAATAGTGGTGTTGAATATTACAATACATATCAAATCGCGATGTCACTTTTTAACTTTTCAAAAATCTTGAAGTGTGAAGAAGTCTCAGATGTAATTGTGTATTATTGGACAGGTAAATAGACATGTGTATACTTTTACAGATGCCCCTAGATAAATGACACCTGACATACGAATCTTCATCCAACGCGAGTACTCGAAGTGACCGTCAGTATCTGTGACAAATCTGATACATGCATATCTACTTTATGGCATATCTCTACAAAATGTCTC